CAACATAAAACACACTCATATGCTCTTCTAGTTATCATTCTACACTGATTTTCTAACGCTACCACATGCATGCCACATATCGAATAATCAGTGGAATCATAATGCAACTAGGCATTTCAAACTATTTCGAATAACTAATTAGACAATCAGAGCACTCTAAAGAGCAATAAATTATTTATTGTCTTTTCCATCAAGTTTACACACATAAATCAGATCTATTAATTCTGATTACATATTTATGGGTCATTTAGCTTGGATATAGAAAATTCATATTTTTCTCAAGCATCCAATAATAGTATGGGAATGCGATATAAGATATTCTAATTCTTCACACTTGGAAGAATTTATCTTATCTACTTAACCATTCCTTACATCTAGGATAGTCAATGACTTTCTAGAGGCAGGATTCTCTTCCACTTTTCCAGAACCATCAACAATAGTGGTGAGGGTCTTGCCCAACAACACTTTCTCCTTCAATACGCGTCAATGTATGATTGAGCTTAGCTCGTTTATCACACATATCTTGAAGTGGTCCTATCCAACAACCATTCTTCAGAGTTACCATTAAGGCTAACCTCTGTCATCACCTCAGTGAATATTATTACCAAATCCTCTTCTTTAGTCAAGTTAACACTAGGTTAAACTTGTTCTTACACTTTCGTGTCTTATGACCTAGTTTCTCACAGAGAAACATAACGTCATTCTTAGAGGATTGGATGACAATCTTATGGTTACCACAAAGGGTACCATTCTATTTGATATGGATCTGGTTCGGCTTGCTGCTCTCATTCTTGAAACTTTAACGTTTCAGAGCAGCCTAAGTGGTTCGTGTAGTACTAATAATAGTACTTCTTACAATATCGTTATTATGGGCAATAAACCTATTCTATTCCCATATACTCTTCAACATACACATTTAGACAAAATCATACTTTTCATAGCATGTATTCAATTTCTAATCATCGAGGTAATAAATCTCAATGTCAACATGCATCAATTCTAGATTTTCATTTCTAGCATTCATAATGATTCTCAATTCCATACATAAAACTCAATGGAATAGATTCTTATTTATCATATATTATTGACTCTCGAGGACGGTTTCAGTTCTTACCTCTCTTTTGAGAAATCATGGCATTCTCATTTTGCAACGAGTAGCTAATACCATGGTTAGCTTCTTTCTTCCTCGTTCGGTTTCTTAGTGAAGCTTCAACGTAGCAGTACTAGTTTAGTCGTGACCCTTTATGGCTGCTACTACCAATTCTATTCTCTGAACCAAGGAATCAATCCAAAACACCTTTCCATCTCTCTGTGGCTCACCCACAACAAAAATCCTAATGGAAGGGAGGCGCCTTTTATTGATGAAGAAACCGCCACTTTTTCCCAAACTTATTGGTGCAATGGTGCCATACTTTTCCTGGTTCGAGAAAGAAAGCTCCAAATAACAAAAATAATCATAATCAAAATAACATCTGATTAAACAAGAAAATTAAATCTCCACAATCCCATGTCGGCGAGTACAAGTCTCCGCAAGCCCCTGTACATGGCTTCCCTTTTTTCTGGGACAAAGGCCCAATATATAAATGCTTTAATGGAATGAACACTATCCATCTCACGAAGGGAATTAAATCAACCGTAATTAAAAGCGAACAGATAACACTTAGCTTTTTCTTCTCGGATTACTTCCTTTGCTATAGAAATTTTCCGATGCACAGAGGACCTTCTTACGACGGAGAAGCAATGACACCATGGCTAAAGGCGATGGGATTGAGCCATAATCGGTATCCTGCAGATTTTCTATGTACTGAATAGTAATACCAGACAAAAAAAAAAAAAAAAAAAACCGGCATGTTCCAAGAGGATTAGGCCAAAGCCCGACTCCATGTGTTTTCTTCGCCAACAGAAGCAACATATGTTTTGAAACATGCAACCTGCAGCAACTGCAATGCATGTTCTTCTTCTCCCGGTAGTAATTGTGGTTTGGAGAGTGGCGATTCTTGCAGCCAGATGGGATAATAAAATCTGTTCGGTACACATGACAGCAACCGAGCGTCTTAAAATTGTTAGAAATCGAACAGGAAAAATCAGGGTTACCGATCTGGCTGAGTCGCGGACTAGGTCGCTCTCTTTAAGACGTTCGCGGCACTGCCTTCGTTGCGCACGGCAGACTATCAGCCGGTCGCCTCCAGGATAAAACAGCCACTCTAATTTTTGTTGCTCATCGGTTTTGTGCGAAAACCGGAGCTCTATGAACTCACTCTCTATCTCGTGTTTCTGCTCTCTGAGGTGTGTTTAGAGGGTCTAGGGGTCTGCTATTTATAGGAGCAGAAAACCTAGAATATTCCCTCTTTCTTTGGGAATAAAGCCACATTTTAATTAGGAAGATAATTACTTCCATAATTAAAATATATTATATTATATTAAGATAATTAATCCTAATTATCTCCATAATATTCTTTTTATTAATTATCCTTATTTTCGTATCTAGAAAGAATACGGGATAATTAATTCAATATAGCTTTCAAAGCTATTCATTCCCAACAGAACTTAGTCATTTCCTCTTCTTACCATAAAACAGTTCCATCCCTCATAGAGAAATACTATTGAACCTTAGGATGTATCTTCAAGAGTCGTTTTCAGCACCAGAATCATAGGAAATCTGGTATTGCCAAAAAGATCGACTCGTAAGCTTATGCTTCAGAAGCCAGGAAATCCACAACGAGCCATGTTGCATTGGAATAGTCCAAATATGTCGAGATACACAAGCTAAATTCCAAGAACATAAATCCCTTATACCAAGCTCTCTATCCTTTTTGGGAAATTTCACCTGATTCCATGCCACACTAGCGTTCACCTTACCCCCTGCTCCAATGCCCCAGAGAAAGTCACTGCATATCCTTTCTACCACAGCAAGAACTGTCTTTGGCAGCAAGAAAACAGTCATCCAATACTGAGTAACGGTCATCAACAGAATTTACCAACTCCACTCGACCAGCATAACTTAACGACTTTGCTTTCCACCCTCTGATTCTACACAACTATCTTTTCAATCAACAAACGACAAGCAGCAACAAAAAACTTCCCCACCACCAGAGGAACCCCCATGTACTTCACAGGAAACACACCCAGTTTGAACCCTAACCTCTCCGCCATCCTATTCTTTTGGTCCACTTTGAGAACAGCACAAAACAGCTCACATGTTCCAGGGTTAAAACCCAAACACGAAAGTTGCTTAAATCGCCACAGAACTCGCTGAACACACAACAAACCCATATTGGATCCATTCGTGAAAAATAAGAATAACTATTAATTCTCCATTGTATTAATAATCAATAATTTACATTTTATTTTCACTATTATTCTCTCTTCGTTTAATTCTGTTAAAAATCCTACGTGTTCGTAATCAGTCCTAAATCCTTTATTTATTTATTTTTTTGTCAAATCAGTCCCAGGTCCTAAGTCCTAACCGGTCATTATTTCCTTCTAACAACTTGTTTGGATACAATTCCGGAAGAAATGGAAATGGAATTCCAATTCCATTTTTTATTTTTATAGAATTCCATTTCCAATTCTAGAGTTTGGTATAATTCCTACAACTATGGAAATGAATTGCACTTTTAACCATATAAATAATGTAATTTGTTTGTTTTATTTTGGGAAATGAAATATGAATGAGAGAGAAAGAGAGTAAAATGATAGTGTGTCAATAAAATAATAAAAAGTATCGATGGGTCCCATTAATTCCATCTTTCTCTCAATTTCTATCACTTTTGAAAGTTTTGATAGGAATTGTAATTCCCAAATTTTAAACTCAATGAAATACAATTCTCAAACTTTTTATTATTCCAAACATAATATGTGGCGAAGGCCGGGGCCCTCTTACAGGAAATTTGCCGGCTACTGGGAGCTAATGCTGGGTTTAGAGTGGTGTTTGTAGGTAGACAGAACAATAGGGTGACTCATTTGGTGGCCAAGAAAGCCCTCGATTTGTTTCCTACGGGATGTGTTGGTTTTGATTTTCGGGCGTGGTTGTGCTCGGAATCTGGTTTGATGTAACTCTTTTGTCTTGTTAATGCAAGGATCTTTTCGACAAAAAAAAAAACATAATATGTGGAAATAGAATTGAAAATGAAATTCCAAATTCTTATTTTTTTTGTCAATCCAAACATGCAGTAACTGCTGAGTGCTGTGTAGGGATGGCAATCAAACCCATGCCCACGGGTATCCGACCGCCCCCGACCCTGTCAACGCGGGGAATCCCCGCTTTGACTGGGTATGGGGCGGGTATGGGTAAAACCCGCAAAATGTTTGATGGGTATGGGGCGGGTTTGGTTTTAGCCTCCCCCGCCCCATACCCATACCCATACCCATACCCGCCCCACCAGAATATTTGTTCACATATAAAAAATACATGGATGAAATAGTAATCTATCAATGATAGTGAGGGTAAATAAAAAAATAATCAGTAGAAATGCAATAGCGTGGTCACCCAAATCAAAACCTAATTCATTTTCCTCAACTCTCTCTTCACTATTTCACTTTTCCCTCGTGTTAGCAAGATTATATTAGTTAATTATTGCTTAGTATATGTATTAGAGTCAGATAAATAATGATTTGGATTACATTGTAGTACTCTATTTTATGGATTAAGGGAAATTTTAGGATAAAATGCTTTGAACCATATTAAGAATTATTGTCACTTTCCCGACTTCATGATATAATAGGTGCCTTTAATATTATAATTGAAAATTTACATGTAAAATTTTATGTATTGTAATGTTGGATGTATGGGGCGGGTATTACCCATGGGTACCCGAAACCCACGGGTATGGGAATGGGTTTGCAAAATCATCCCCCACATGGGTATGGGGCTGGTATGGGTTTGTATATTTGAAAGCGGGGATGGGGATGGTTTAAGCAAACTCGCCCCAAACCCGCCCCATTGCCATCCCTAGACTGCTGTGCACTGCACTGAATTCTCTTTGGTTGGGTTCTGGGCCCTTTGGGCCGGATACCCGAACTTCAGTACCATCGTTTACCCTGCTCTGTTCCTTTCCGTCCGTTTAATGGAGAGGAAGTAGGAACTGTGGAGACTGGAGAGACGAGACAACAGAACTACCGGCTGGAACACGCTCTGGAGAGGTCTGCTCTGTCGCCGTTCCCGCCGCCGCCATGGCCCTCCACAAGAACAAAATGTTCGGTCTGAGACTCCTGACTCGCTTCCTCAGTTCTCCGGGCCAGAAAGGCTTCCAGCACACGAACCCTCGGACACTCGAGACCCTCGCTTTCGAAGAGGTGCGATCATCTTCCACAGACAAACCCCACACTTACACGGCTTTCGTTCTCCATGGGCTCTTGGGATCCAGACGCAACTGGCGCGCCTTCTCCCGCAACATCGCTTCCTTCCTCTCCAAATCCTCCCCTCCTTCTGGTACCCCGTCTTTCTCTCCCCCCCTCTTCGATTCACATTTTTTCGGAGAAACTCCAATAATTGTACATTGTTTATGTTGATTTCCCTGGGTGTAGAGTGGAGGATGGTGCTTGTGGATCTGAGGAACCATGGGAAGTCTGCGGAGGTTGAAGGACTGGACCCACCTCACAACATGTTCACTGCAGCGAAGGATTTGGCGAATTTGGTTAAAGCTCAAGGTTGGGATTGGCCTGATGTTGTTATGGGACACTCGATGGGAGGTAAAGTGGCGCTGCAATTTGCCGAGAGTTGTGCTCGTGGTGATTATGGGGATTCTGCTACGTTGCCAAAGCAGGTACCCTTTCCTCTGTTCAACCTTAATTGACCTTATGTTATGGCCTGAGGTAATGAATTTAGTTAGGTGCCTTTCACCTGAGATTATGCATATGAATGCTTGTTAGGTCCTTGTGTCCATCATTGGGTGGTGGCAATCTGGTTTTTGCAACAAGGCATTGTTCTTGTGAGTTGTGTCTTAAAATTTCCGAAGGATATGGTTGATTTTTACCACAAGATAAGATCAAAGACCTTCTGAAAAGCACTCATTTCCATTACAAGATCTCCATTGCCTGTTGTGTTGACAGAATCGAATTAAGACACACATCATATTTTGTCTGTTAATGCAAAAGTTGGGTTTTCACAAATGATTTTGCGGGTAAAGGGTTGTTTAGGTGAGGCCGGTATATGTTAGAGGATCCATGACAAATCCACAATAGTCTTTGGGATCTTACTGTGTGCACTTCATGATCTCTTTGGGGGACGATTTTTTCGCTAGGGGTTTCAGTTCTAAGGGTTTGATGATCCTTTTTAGATTTGAAGACAATAGTTGATTCTTTGTTTGACCTTCTTGAGAGTGCTTTTTATATTGTTCAGTTTCGGGAGTTTTTAAGTATTTTGTGCTCTTAGTAATGAGTGTCCAGAGGGTTTGTCATATGCTTTGTTACATACCAAGAGAATACTGATAAGAGAGGGCTTGTCTCTGATTGGCGGTTGATAATATCGATATTTAATTTGCATGGAAAGAAATTCTTCTGCTGTTATCATTTGTTTATCTGATGCAGAACAGCTGTGGGTGCTGGATTCTGTCCCTGGAAAGGTGAGTACAGATAACAGTGATGGAGAAGTAGAAAAAGTCTTGAAGACTTTGCAGAGTTTACCTTCATCAATTCCATCAAGAAGGTAGAGTCTCTATGGCTCTCTCTGGTTCTGTTCTTTTGCTTCTATTGTCGCTTAAAGTTCCTGGGCTTGACTTCACCTGGCTACATAGGTAGGGTTAGGTCCCCCCCCCCCCCCCCCCCCCCCCCCCCCCCCCACCACACACACACACACACACACACTCTGGTTGTTAAGTAATGGTTAGGATTTAATTTTAAACGTAGATTCCTTTTCTCCTTAAGTGATTGATCTCATACTAATGTGATCTTGGCTGCAGCTGGCTTGTAAACCACATGGTTGAGCTTGGTTTCTCAAAGTCACTATCGGAATGGATAGGCACAAACATAAAGAAATCAGGGGAACTGGAGACATGGGCTTTCAATCTTGACGGAGTAATCCAAATGTTCGGTTCTTACAGGTAAGTATTCATCACTGACCACCACATGTTTCGGTTTTTAGTTCATCTCCTTTTCCTGCTTCTCCTCCCTCTTTTGTTTTGAAAGAAAACCTACTGAAATCTGTAGGGATACTTCATATTGGTCTTTGTTGGAACATCCACCGAAAGGGATGGAGATAGGACTTGTAGTTGCAGAGAACAGTGACCGTTGGGAGCCGGATGTGCTCCACCGAATAGAAAGCCTTGCCGCAAGGGAAAGTGATGAATCGCAAGGAGCATTTTCACTTCATGTTCTTCCCCATTCAGGGCATTGGGTTCACGTGGACAACCCAAAGGGACTGCTTGATATAGTGGCACCAAGGATTGCTTCCATCTCAGCGTAAATAAAGCAAGGAGGTGTCTGTTTCTGGTAAAAATCAAGAGTTGTGTATCTAGGGTCTGGATTGAGAAGATACTTTGGACATGTCTTTTTGATTGAACTTTTTTTGGGGGGAAGTTTATTTCTTTGGTTGTGGGCTTGTGGTGTGGCCTCAGGTAGCCTTCCGGTTCAGAAGAAAATATATGGCTTTGTTAATCTTGTTTCCTTTGGATTAATACCTTATTTTATATAATCAACTTTGGCTCTGGTTTCAGAAATTAATTTACTGGTTTCAACTATGTAACATATAGACTCAATTGGCCCGACACATGGTTTGACCGTTAATTTGGACGGTCAACACCATTGACCTTTAGTTAAGATGTCATTTCATTGCCTCGTCAGCCTAAAAATCATTAAAAAATTTAAATGCAAATTATTTTTCTAATTCCCATTATTTATCATTATCAAATTAACCATAAAAAATAAAAAAATAAAAAAATAAAATAAAATTATTTTTTTTATTTTTGAAAATGATAAATTTTATAAATTAACCAAAACTTATCAAATTATTTTCAAATTTTAAAATTGTATTTTTGGTTAATTTGAAAATGATAAATAATAGAAATTAGAAAATAATTTGAATTTGAATTTTTTTAATGATTTTAAAGGTGACAAGGCAATGATATGGTGTGTTGACTAACGATTAGGGGAGTAGACTGTCCAAATTGACGGTCAAACCATCTGTCGGGCCAATTGAGTTTATAATGTTGTATAGTTGAGGTCAGAATGTTAATTTCTAAAATTACATGTCAAAGTTGATTATATAGTAATAGTTCGGACCAAAATAAGTAATTGTGGAATTCGGCGTTTACTTTAAGCCCACATATACGGCTCAAGATAGGGTGCATAACCATGGGTTATGCACCCATCAATAACCAAATCTGGACCCTTCATTTAGAAAATCTAGATCTAAGGATGGAGAATTAAAGACTATTTTTATTTTCACTAGCTCTCTTAATTGACTCATATCTTTTTCGTTTTAACTCGGATTTTAATTTTTTTGCACAGATGGAACGAGTTCACCGTGCTCTACAAAATGAGATCAATTTTCAATATTTTTTTAGGAAAAAAAAAAATTCTGGCCTCTCGGTACCAACTGCATACCATATGGTATCTTCTTCGTTTTTAATTCGTTTTTGAAAACGTTTGCACAGCAGGGATGAGTTCATCATGATCTACTGGATCTACAAATTTCTGGGTGAACAAATTACAGGACCAAAAAATACCACACAATACCATACAATACCACCCTGGTACAGGGTGGTATTGTATGGTATCTTCTTCGTTTTTAATTCGTTTTTGAAAACGTTTGCACAGAAGGGACGAGTTCATCATGATCTATTGGATCTACAAATTTCTGGGTGAACAAATTACAGGACCAAAAAATACCACACAATACCACCCTGGTACGGGGTGGTATTGTGTGGTATACAATGTTAAAAGTCGTAAATTACAATTAATATACTTCTACTATCATGTATTCAACCATCCTACAGTATTGGTTTGTTCATACCACCATGGTACGTTTTTCAAAACATAGGTATGCTTTTATTTCAATACCAGTCAATACCATATGGTATAGGCTGGTAAAAAATGGCTCAATTTTTTTTGTTCGAAAAATATATTAAAGTGGATATCATTTTGAAGAGCACAATTAATCTGATCTAACTGTGCAAAAAAAAAATAAATTTCGACTTAAAATGAGCGAGAAATCGTCCGTCAAAGATTAAAAAGGGAAAAATTAAATGCTTTCCATGAGAGAGAGGATGCTGATGTCATGCTGATGTGGACGGGTTACTCATGGTTACTCACCATAAGGTTACTGACCTGATCCATTCCCCACATATACTTTGTCTAGAGTTGGCCATAACTACGGACCCGGTTGAAAATAGAGGAAACGGGGGGCGGGGGGGGGGGGGGGGGGGGGGGGGGGGGGGGGGGGGGAGTTGCTTATCGAGAATGGAATCTAATAAATGAAAAACTTGCATGTCACAATTTATGAAAAATGAAATTCACGTAACTCTATTTCATGTTTTATTTATGGAGAGTTATATTTTATATCATTAAAATATTTAAACTCCATACCAAACACCTCATAAAATAAAGTATGGTTTGTGGAGTTGTGGAACATCGTATTGATGAGATTTGTGAAAATATTAAGTGTTATAGGTATAATATGCCCCTTTACTATGACGTTTTATCAAACATGTCCTTATACTATTTTTTATATCAAACATGCCCCTGTACTTTGTAAAAATGATCAAACATGCCATTTTGTTTAAATTTTCATTCAAAAACCGTTAACCAAGGTCGAACTTTGGTTTGGCCGGCACAAATGTCTAAAATATCCCTAATAATTTCACTTAAGAATTTTTTTTTGTTCTTTTGTATAGCCAAATAATTCAAATAATTTCACTTTGAAGAGACCCAGAGAAATAAAACGGGAGAAAAAACTACCATTTTCGCTCTCATTTGTCGATGTCGGGTCATCTAAATCTCGGTTCAACCATGATTAACGATTTTATCAATGGAAATCTTAACAGAAGGGCATGTTTGATAATTTTTTCAAAATACAGGGGCATGTTTGATGTAAAAAATAGTAGAGGGACATATTTGATAGAACGTCATAGTAGAGGGGCATATTATACCTATAATCCAAATATTAATTAGTGGTTTAGTGGATTTATGTCAAAAAGGATACACATGTGAATGTTATTTGAGTTGCTGGAATATTAAAATTTGTTGGTGAATATTATGTCAATATTAATTGCCAAAATATCTACCAATAAACATCAATCTATAATTAAGACAAATATAAATAAATAAGTACTTAACTATTTGGACCACACCTATCTCGATCCAAATCCAATAGTTATTTTGTCCCCTCCTGTCTCAACCTAGTTATTTTGCATTTTATTGATATTGAAAAATCATATTCACTGCATAGCACATCACATGATGTGTTGCGTATCAAAATATAAAAATAATCAGATAAAAGCGTTAAAACAATTACAACAAAGACTTAAAGCTACAACAAAATTGGTAATAGTGATTGCAATTTGAAGTCGTCTCGCCAAGTATTACCTGACTTGATCCGTGTTGGGGTATCTAAGCATGTGTACTACTTTCATCCTACGACACCATGTCCCGCCTGTTTTTTTTATCTCAATCTTTAATTTTATTTACATATTTTTACTCACCATAAATCATATTTTAACACAATGATTCTTTAGATCTCTTTTAAAAAAGATTCTTTGGATCAAGGTTGTTAACCTGGTTTAGCCTGTTGGTTTGGTCGACCTAGTGGGTCAAGGGTTAATGGGTCAATCGATTTAACCTAATTTAGCACAGTTTAACTCAGATATATGAAAAAAGTCATTATATTGTACATACATATATAAATTATATTAAATCTCGTCTAACATATAGATAATAACATATAACATTACACCAAAACAATAGTTCGTACTTGAACTTAATGCATCAAACGTGCAAGTCGGTGATGCTATAACCCACAAGAAAAGTCTCATTTCTGTTTTATTGATTCTGGCCCAAATGTACACATTTTTACCCCTCATTTCTTATTTGTTTAGTTTAGTATTTCATCGTTCCTCGACATATTTCACGTTAGGTTGTGCTTGTTTTAATACATTTCAGGTCCTAACACGTGTGGAAGTGTCGAGGTTGAATTTTGGGATAATTGGAGGTCAAAAAGTAAAAAACCCGAAGAAAAGTCCGAACCGTGACAATTGCCTCGTAACAATGAAGTGAAGGCGTCCCAGGAAACCGCCGCAGTTCACGGCCGGACAAGGCAGTTCACGGTCTCCTAAGACCGTGAACTTTGACCACAAACCATGAACACCGAGGAGTCCAGCGAGGTTCCTGAAGTTACTAACGACAAGACAGCTCACAGTCTCTAAGACCGTGAACTGTGGCCATTGACCGTGAACCCAGGAAGCAACGCGGTGCGTTTTGGAGACGACTGAGTTCACGGACGCGTTTAGGTGTTAACGGCCGTGAACTGGCCAACGCGTCCATGAACTGATCACTTTCGGGCAAATATGAAGACAACAGCGGGGAGAGAGAAAGGGGAGCTGGTTTTTGGGGGAGAAGATTGGTTTCTCTCTCTAGGGTTTGCCCAAAAACACCAAAGGGGAGCTCTAGTGAGAGAGAGAGAGAGAGAGAGAGAGAGTGCTAGAGTGATCTTGGAGCATCATTGGAGGCTTGGGTGGAGATTCAAGCCTAGAAGAAGAAGAAGATCTTGAGCTCAAATTTGTAATCCCTCTCTCTCTCTCTCTCTCTCTCTCTAGAAACTCACTCTTTTCTCTTGGGTGTTGTAGATCCCTAACTAATACTTTGTAATTACTTGTTTAGATTGAATGATTGTCATTGGGTATTGTTTAATTTAATGATTGAGGTATTATTCACATTGATTGTGCATGCTCGTGCTTAGCAATCTAAGGGTTGTGCATGTTTTGTGCTTAGCATCCTTAGGTTTGTGCATGCTCGTGCTTAGCAATTTAAGGGTTGTGCATGTTTTGTGCTTAGCATCCTTAGATTTGTGTTGTTGGTTCTTAGCAACCTAAGGATTGTGCATAATTGTGTTTAGCTTCCTTAGATTTGTGCATGTTGGTGCTTAGCAATCTAATTAGCCACTTTAACCTAGATTAGAGAGGAAAATCCCCCATTTTAAGGGGGACTCAATCGAGTTGGTTTTCCTTTAACTTTTTAAGCCACCTAACTAGGTTAATTTAGGGCAAACCTCAATGTTGAATTAAGAAAATTGGTTAAGCATGATTAGCCGTTGATAGACCATTATTTGCACATGTTTTGACCACCATTCTTGAACCGTTTGAGAGTCGATTCTCGTGTCTTAAGCCGATTTCACGCTAGGTTGTTCGTTTATGTCATATTTCAGGACTTGGCATGGACGTGGAGGCGAGTTTCGGGTCAAAAAGTGGAGCGTTGAAGCAGAAGGGGTTGGAAAGAGAAAATACCCGGTGAGGCGCTGAAATACCTGACCGGGTAAACCTGAAGGAAGGACCGGGGAAAGCTGTTTTTGGGGCCAGAGGATCAGAAGGGGGCAAGGGGCCCCGACCGGAATGCATAAATACCCGATCGGATATTCTGGACCTCGATCGGGTGTTAACCCCTTCGCATTGCGCGGCGTTTTGGAAATACCCAACCGACCCCCTGAAATACCTGACCGGGCATTATGGTCGGGTATCGCGACCTGCACCCTTTTGAGGGAAAGAAGGCCACTTTTGATAGAGGATCCGATTTTTAGAGATAGAGAGCATAACCCTAGAGAGAGAAAGTGACGAACCAGAATCTCCAAGCGCCCTAGATCGATCTTCAACACCATTGGAGCTCGGTTGAAGCTTGGAGA